ACTTTTATATTTGTAATCCTAAAACTAATTCTTCTCACGTTCTCATTCAAGATATAATTCCATCTTCCATATAATCAATTTCTAACATTTTATATTGTTATCATTTCTCCAGTAGCGACGCCAAAATGTTGTTCTTGTTATGTTCAAGCTTCAATATACCAAAGCAATTGAACTAATAGAGGTGGGTTCGAACATGGGAAAAGATTGGTTATATGAATTGGGTCTGTTAGTGTCACAATTGATTGTACTCTAGTTATCTGAAATCAATTATCAACTACAAAATAGCAAGGCTTACTACTTCCATCTTAATTCAACCCATAATCCATTCTATGACAATCAATTCAACAATACTTCCATATTCTTATCCGTTCCTCTCCCACTTACTCTCTTTACGGTTTATATATATTCAATTACTGATCTCTAGCTTACCTATTGTATTTAGTTTCTCAATTCATCACACAGAATTCAATATCTCGGCTTACGACTCTCACAGTCTGGTATTCTAGACTAACTTTTCAGTATTCAGAAACTATCCATTGCTCGTCAACAACAAAGAAACAAAAAAGAGATAGCATCAAGCTTACCCTAGCTTACGACTATCACAATCTGGCACCGATCTCTCTTTTTTCAACCTCTTTATCTTAGTAAAAGATGGACCATCGACCAGTAGATTTCAAAGGTTATGATCCTTTGAATTCTTAACCATTTATTCCACTAACAACCTACTATTACCAACTAAACTGCCTAACCATCAGTCTAATTCTCAAGGTTATCAATAACCAACTAGTAACTTACCACAAAGTTTATTTACCTATTCTATACATAATATCTCTAAAAAATAACAAATGACCATCTATTATTTCTACATATAGAGGTTTGATTTTCTTAAGTAAAGATATTTCTTATTTTTTGACAAAGTCTTTATGTATAAAATAGACTAAGATTCTTAAATCTAATAAAGCAAAGGTCATGTGATTTTTTGATCTTAAATAAGTTTTTACTATAAAATAACATGAAGAATGTGAAAAAAAATAAGATCTTTATTAGGTATTGCACAAGATTCTAATTGTATGGTTTTTATTATAATTAGAGAAATTAATTTTCTAACACATTCTCTTCTTTAGCAACCATGCTCCTTATTTTTTAGTTGCATTATTTCTTTGGACAATATTAAGCAATGTCCTTAGATTTTCCATAATATAAGCACAAACCTTTTAGATATCATTGAATCTTGAATAAGAAATTTGAAACATACCACATTAATTTGCATAGATTTTGGTCTTGATGAATAAGCTTCCAAAAACTTATGAGATGTTGCTATGATTTGATTTGCACCTTTTCAATCAAATCTTTGCTCTTGTTATCTTTCAAAGAGATGATTGTTGCATGCAATAATTTGAGCAATAAATTATTCTAATGCATCTATTGTCAACATTAAAAATTATAAATGTTTGACATTATCTTTCAATGTATATAAAAATTAATTGATAAGAGCTTTATCATTTCAATCCATTTCACAAGTAAGGTTTTGAAATTTAATAGTATATATGGTAGCTAAAAAAAAATTGTCATAAAGATATAAGTTTTGTCTTTGCTATCTTTTTTTAATCATTTTTTAAAAACTTATAATAAAATATTCTAAAAATAAATTTAGATCATAGAAGAGATATGAATATTTTTTCTATATAAGATGTATATTAAGAAAAATCACTTTTAAAGAAAAGTGTACCTATGAATTTAACTTTAATATATCTGTCCAAGTGATGAAAAGTTTCAATCTTAGATACAATTTTATTTATTGTAGAAATCTTCATAACTTTCATCTTATTCCATCAAACTTCTCTAACATGTTCATCTTTGCATCCTTCATACTTATAATAATAAGAATTCTTGGATTTAATTGTAAACTTAATTTACTTTCTTCTCTTAATTGCTCAATTTATTAACATAGTCTTTGAACTTCATTATTGATTTTTTCCATAGATGTAGAAATATTACTTCCATAGTCAATATTAGAGATACATGAGATTTCTATCTTAAAAGTATTGATATGCTTGTGAAGATCTATAATGAATATAAATCTATTTTCTCTTGTGTTGATAGTAACATCTATAATTTTTTTTTTATAGAAAATTTAAATAAGTTTACAAATTTAATTAGAGGAAGATAATCTCCAACTTCTAATATAAAATGATTTTTTTATATAAAGAGATATTCCTTTTTTTTAACAAAAAAATCATTCTTATGAAATCAGAATATTTATTTAAAAGTAGATAGTTAACAACCTTCAAAATACAACAATTTAAGTGGAAGTAATTCACTCTATTTCAAAAAAAAAACAAACATAATGAATTAATATTCTTATCAAATTTTTAATAACATAAATGTGAAGAAATTAAAAAATTATTACACTCTTGTATCACTCAAAAAGACTAAAAAATCAATCAAAGATGGTATAATATTAATCTAGAATGGTTTTTGTCAATAACAAGAAGACTAAGCCGTGAAGTAACATTAAAGACTAGAAAGATATTTACAAGAGTGAAGATAGCTTTATTCTTGCTTCTACATATACTATTTAACTAAGAACTATGTGAAAACATTCCATAGGATCTCCAATATGTGTCTAACTTATAAGATATATGTCTAATTTACAAAATAAGTTTTTGATATGTGTACTAAATAGTTAACTTGTTCTAAAAGCTACTTATATATACAATATGTGGTTATTTTGATGGCTAATTTTCTAATCTATCAATCAATTATAAATATGTATGAAGTCAAATATATATTGTCAAATAATACAAATTCTTGCTTTACAATATAAAAGTTACTTAGCTGTAGAAGATGAATAGAAAATGAATCAACAAGATTATATAAGATCTAAGTAAATTCTAATTAACCTTCAATAATTCTAATTAAATATCAATTAATCTATTTTTAAAAAAAACTATAAAAGAAATATAAAAAATCATAAATTAGTTTATTTTTTTATTTTAATAGTTAATAGATTAAAGATTGATTAGAAAATTTACCTTCTAGATTTAAAAAAATTCTTTTAGTATCTTAAAAAGGCCATAAATTGATAAAAATAAAATAGATTATATAGATATCCAGTATGATCAACTCTAAAATGAACTTAAAGATAGGATCGTGCTAAAATCTTCTTAGGAAAGATTGAATTGATATTTAGAGGATGATTATTTGAAGATTAGGATTGAAATCAGATCTCTAGCTACTAAATTAGATACTTTGGAATAAGTAGGGGAGATTTTAGAAATCAAAGAGTTGGATTGAAGAATTGTTTGTAAGTTTATTTTTAAATTATTAAGCTTATTTTTATAGGTTTTGAGATGACTTTGCAATTATTGTGTAAAATCAAGGTTTGTATCAATAACTTTAGATTTATGCAATAAAGTTATGGCTAGTACTATTAGATGGTTTATGAGATGCATATGACATCTATAATTCAAATTTTGTCAATACGTAGTTGAATGGATGTGTTAATTATGTATAATTTTTTTTATTATTATTCTAATGATGTGATTGGAAGATATTTAATTATTAGTTTAAGAAAGTATTAAAAGTTGGTAATTTAGGATTGAACAAGATTTTTTTAATATCTAAAAATCTACTTATAGAAACAAGAAAAATTTTGGTGTGGTTTTAATAGACTGACATATCAAGGTATACACCAATTTGGAGCTAAAGATAATGGTTGAAGACTAATAAATTGTTGCTTAAGCTTCATCATCAATCTTTAAGTTTATAGCCAAGGAATACTGGTACAATTTGTTTGCACTTTTTTCATAATTTATAAGTTGGATTGATTTTTTTTTTTTAATATATAGAAGATTAATCATTTTATTAGTATATAAAATTTTATACCAACTAAATAATTAAATCATGAATTATAGGTAGTTGAAGCTTACTACCTAAAATTAGGATTTGAAGAGAAAATTAGAAATTTTAAAAAAAGACAAATATAAGACAATTAGAATTTGTATTTTCTTGAAGTAATTAAGAAGAGTGTTTTTGAGTACTATGCATTTGCTTTAAATTCTTTCGTATCGGAATTCAAATTGCTTCTTTTTTAATGGTTGAAATCTATTAAAGTTTCTTAGATAATTGTAATATATGACTTCATCTTCTACAACCAATTACTTGATGTATTTCTAAATAAGAAGACATTTAATACGATAATGTGACCTTGTTGTGTAAAAAAGACTCTACCACAATAATAGATATAATGTTGTCACGAGACACCACTGTAGTATCTATAACCAATTTATTAAGTGAATTGCTTAATTTAAATCTATTCTCTATGGAATTATTCTCTAAAGATATTTAGGAGGCTTTACTATAAAAAAAATTCAATGAATTAAAATAAATGAGTAAGAACGAACATATTTTTTTGCTCTCGTGTATTTCTCTCATGTTTCTATTTATTTTATTAACTTTTTTTTTTATACGACATATATTGCTTGGCAATACTACCATCGTCAATCCAAAAAAGAAAAGTTATGTATTATAAGTTTTAAATTTTTTTTAAAAAAATGTATAAAGTAATACCATTCTATGGCCAATGCATTTGCATAGTCATCACTATAAAAAATTTGCCATAATGACAAAATGCTTGGTTCTACCAAAACAAAAAAAAATAAAAGACCTAAGATCAATTTATAAAAAGAGCTCAAAATGAAGGAAAGGCAAAAAAGAGATAGATGGTATTTGAACAAAAAAAAATTGGCTACAGAATAGGAAAAAAATGAGGTGATTTAAAAATCACTATCTTCCATTTTAGATACATCAAACAAAAGATTAACTAAACATTGGATACAATTTTTGTAAACAAACACATTTACTGAACACCACTCATGAAACAACATCGCGACCGTCCCTCGCCCCACCCTTGGATGGAAAACTGATGATAAATCGATAGCGAACGTAGTACGAGCGAACGAAGAGCACCCGTCCACGGGAACACTCCGGGCCCTGGCAAGTCTGGGCATCGTGGTTGCAGGGGTGGCGGCGGAGAGAGATAGAGCGTTTCGTGTTGTGTCCCCGACCCGACTCTGAATGCCTGTGCCAAGGGAATCCCAACTTCCGCTCTGCCTCCCACGCTTCTCATGCTCCATTCCTTCCACCATTCTTTAAAGCTGCCGTTTCCCCGATTTGATCGCTAACGCTAGCACTGAAGCACCATGTCACAGAACCTGAGTATTCTCGGAGATCGGCAGACAGGCCAAGATGTCCGCACGCAGAATGGTTGCTAACTTGCATTCTGGATTAGGTTTTTGGGCATTGTTATTTTGGTTTCTGCGGTCGCGCGTGGATTCTCGTTCGGTTTCAATGGATTTTTGAGAAGGGTTTTTGAGGTTTTGGAGCGCGGGGCAGGGTTGATTGCGAGGGGTTGGTGGTTGGGGTCCTATGATTTGGGCTTGGGTTGAATGTGGGGGATCTGATTCAGTGTTTGTTGTTGTCATGGTGGATGGAATGCAGTTATGGCTTGTCAAGCCATTGCCAACATTGTTAAAACCTCATTGGGACCTGTTGGTTTGGACAAGGTGCGTTTGGGCTCGTTTCTTGCGGTGTTGCGAATTTGGTATTTTGGTTGCATGGGTGTGAACCTCATCTTGGAGTCGGCACTTCATTAGCAAAAGGTTTTGCACGTGCAGCGTGAATTAGGATGAAAATGTTGCGGACATAATTTGATGTGAAGCTTGTCTTGAAGAGTTGGACTTGGTCATACTGGTCAGCTTAGTTTAGCTTGTCAACCCAAAGATTGTTATTTTGATTGATAATGTGTTCTGAATCTGTGCTCGATTCTTTTTCTGCCCTGTGGATCTTGCAGATGTTAGTGGATGATATAGGTGATGTGACTATAACAAATGACGGAGCCACCATTTTAAAAATGCTTGAAGTGGAGCATCCTGCCTCGAAGGTTATTTATTTATTTATTTATTTATTTTTTCATGGTTGTATCATTGTATATAATGATATCGTCAACTGCTTGTTTTGGAACTTTTCGTGACAATATTTAGCTGGTTACATGGCGGAGGTTTATATTGTAAAGGAGAACTATCTGGTAGTGGTCTTATTGTGGTAGCCCATGGTAAGCCTACACTTACAACCATTTGCGGTAGGATATTCTTATGTTATAAGAGGTTTTGGTTTTTCATTCACCTCCTATTCTGTCGTACGCACAGTAGGATTTCGAACGTTTTTAGCGGTGTGTATGTTGGAAATGTCTGTATGTATGATTGGCCTAATCAAGCTACAAATATGAATAGATTTTGCAGTGAAAAGTATCGGTTCGATGCTAAGTTACATCAAGATTTATTCTCGGATGATTTCAATCAGGTGCTGGTAGAATTAGCCGAGCTGCAGGATCGAGAAGTCGGAGATGGTACAACATCTGTTGTTATTATTGCTTCGGAGCTTCTTAAGGTCACTGCCTTACCCGATCTTCTCATGAGCTCGTCGTTGATGTTTTATAGATTTTTCTGTTTTATTGGAGGATATAAACCTGTGTTTGTTTCAATTACAGACGAGTTGATATTTATGGAGACATAACAGTTGGGTTTTAAAATCTCGATGGCTTTTACTGCTTATTTCTCTGTAACATTACTGTGTTGTTCATGAGAAAAGGGCTTATTCTGCCAGTTTTTGGTTAAACAGAGAGCAAATGATTTGGTTAGGATAAAGATTCATCCGACTTCTATTATCAGTGGTTATCGAGTATGTTTTCTCTACCCTGTACAGTTTATCCCGTTACATTATGATTTTATAATATTAGTAGTCGAAGTCGATGCGGAGCTATTTTCTTAGCCAGCATATCTATCTGGCTATATATCTATCTCGATTTTACTCATGTTCTGTGTCAGATTTGGAACTAATGCTGACAACGTTCTGAGCAATTGAGTTCACATGTTTTGCCAGCTCGCCATGCGTGAGGCTTGCAAGTATATTGAGGAGAAGCTTGCTACTAAGGTATTATCTTTACAATTACTATTCATGGTCGAGGTTATTGCCTCGATTGGTTTATGGTTGTATATGGCTGTTCTTCAAGGATAGTGTTGGTAGTAGTTTATTCTTGGAGATTGTATATGAAGGTTTTGAAAATCATTATTTGGGCCTTCAGAGCTTCACCGTTGTGCGACATAGTGCTAATCAATCTCAGCTAAATGTAGGTTGAAAAACTGGGAAATGATACTTTGATCAACTGCGCAAAGACGAGCATGTCCTCTAAGATCATTGGTCCTGAATCTGACTTCTTTGCCAAAATGGTATGTTTTATAGGGGTGGATGCGAACGTTACATGCTTCTGTAGGATGTGTATTAGCTGAATTTATGCCCAGGAAACACAGTACCAAGTACTTCGTAACACTGTTTAGAAGTGGGTCCATATCCAAGCACATGCAATGCACATCTACATATTTATCATGGATTTTATTTCAAGTTTGCTGATTTTACAACCATGTTGCAATGATGGAACACTATCGTGTTGTGAACCGCCAGGTGGTTGATGCAGTACAAGCTGTGAAGACTGTTTCTGACAGGGGCGACGTTAGATACCCCATTAAGGTCTCCACATTAATCTTTATAGAAGTGCAGTTTGTAACTGTTATTTATGTTTTCTGCCCGTTGGAAGAAAGCTGCTTATTGTTTTTGTGTGCTTAAGTTTTGGTGTTGACTATATTCGTTTAAGCGCCTGTACTGACATGCAGATTGGGGGTGGTCAATTGGACAGTCTATCAACATTCTAAAGGCTCATGGACAGAGTGCCAGAGAGAGTTATCTTCTCAATGGTTATGCTTTGCCGATAGGAAGAGCTGCTCAGGGTATGCCTAGGCGAGTGGCACCAGCTCGGATTGCATGCTTAGATGTCAACTTGCAGAAGACTAAAATGCAGATGGGGGTACAGGTTCTTGTTACAGATCCGAGGGAGCTTGAAAAGATCCGTCAAAGGTGAGTTTCTTTACGGAGCATTTCCGAGGTATGAATGTATACTTCAAAATCGCAAATACGTCCATGTCCTCAGAAGCAGAACTTTTGACGGGTTGCAGAATATCTTATAAGCATTCTGTTTTATATTGGGGAGTTTGTCACGGGATTTTTTTCTTCTCATTTTTTTTATTCAGAAAACCAAGTATTTTTCGTCTTATTGTTCATAACTAATAATTTTGCAGGGAAGCAGACATTACTAAAGAGCGAATTGAGAAAATTCTCAAGGCAGGGGCTAATGTGATTCTTACTACGAAGGGCATTGATGATATGTCTTTAAAGGTAGGTACACTGGTGAAACATGCTTATTTCGCAAAGGCTGGGCACACCAACACCTAATTCAAATATTCAGCTTTATCGAGGAGTACATACTTTGTGATTTATTTATTTTATTATGTGTGGTTGATATTATACTGTATGTATTGGGGTGGAAACAATGTTTTGATGAACAGTCTATGGTGGATGCAGTATTTCGTGGAAGCCAATGCCATAGCATTGCGGCGCGTGAGCAAGGAAGCTATGCGTCACATAGCCAAGGCCACTGGTGCCACTCAGGTACATATTAGTTGAGGCTGAACTATGTTATGCTTTATCATTTCTTGCAAAGTGATGCTTTTTCCAGCATTAGAGCAGCTGTTATCTCGATTATTTCTTGGCTGGTTAGCTTTGCAGGTAGCCGTTGCTCGTTTCGTCTTTTTTATCCTTTGATTGTGTTTCACCAAAATGTTTCTAAATTCGCTATGTGAAATAGTCTTTGAGTTCATAGGTTACTCATCACATAATGGGAGTTTTTATCGTTGACAGTAGACTTTTGGGTGCCATTGCAGTGGTCACCTTTCAGTACTTTTTTCCTCAAATAGTATCACCAATAATTACAACGACTCTTACCTGCATGTGTTGTCCTATAATGGATTCTACATCCTGCATATGTTCATTCTATTGCAGGTTCTGACCTTTGCTGACATGGAAGGGGGTGAGACTTTCGACTCTTCTCTACTAGGAAATGCTGAGGAAGTCGTGGAGGAGCGGGTGTCTGATGACGATGTCATTCTTATCAAGGGTGCGAAGAGCTCAAGAGTGGTGAGTGAACATTTACACTGTTGCGACCGTTACCTCCCTTAGCAGCTTCTATTGTGCTGGAACTTGGATTTTCATCTTAGATTTCTATCCGTATTCTCTCACATTGTAACGTGTCTGAAAATATGCATAAAAGTGAATATGCATAGTATCACATTATGTTACTTGGCAGGTTTCGATCGTGTTGAGAGGAGCCAATGACTACATGTTAGATGAGATGGAACGCTCTATTCATGACTCATTGAGCATTGTGAAACGTGCACTGGAATCAAACACTGTGAGTGGATGTCTCGCTCTGCTTCTAAATCTTGTACCAACTGCGCTTTTGGTCGCAACTCTACAATTTAGGATAATTGTCTGAACTACTTCAGCCAGAGAATCTGTATCTGATTCTTTTTTGTTGATGACACCTAACTAATTCTAATTGGAGAGGAATATTAATATATTTAGTTTGTTGTGGCAGTTGGTGGCGGGAGGGGGAGCTGTGGAGGCTGCTCTATCAGTGTACTTGGAGAATCTGGCAACCACCCTGGGGTCACGGGAGCAACTTGCCATAGCCGAATTCGCTGAGGCCCTTCTCATCATCCCCAAGGTATGCAATTACCTTGGATACATTGTTGGACCTTTGTGGTGTTTTGAGGGAGGTAGTTTCGATGCCCACGTCTTCTCGTTTGATGAAGTAGCCGTGTTTTCAATCCTGCCGAGTAAATATTTCAACCTTTGTTGTTTAGTGTGTGTGTGTGTATATATATGTATATTAAAATGAGTTCGTCTAAGTATTTATTTTCAAAAATTAAAAAAACTGTCATAAAATCGAGGACCACACTGTGTTTTATCGTTAACATCGTCAGCACAGTTGGAGTGTACTTTTAACGAATGTTGGAAACACAGGTTCTGGCAGTAAATGCAGCAAAGGATTCGACAGAATTGGTCGCCAAACTTCGGGCATATCACCACAGCGCCCAAACAAAGTCTGAAAAGCAACACCTTGCAGGGTATGCCCTCGAATGAAATAATTTGATTGTCAGTTAGTTTTTTGAAGGTTCTTATATTATGCTGCTCCAGTTGGCAGTTTGTTCTGCTCGTGTATTTTACGAAAGTCATTGCGACTTGGGTCTAAGTGTTCGGTGTTGCCTTAGTTGTATGTAGGAAGTTCTGTCCTGAAATTTGGAGTTGGCATTCTCAGCATGGGCTACTTTTGAAGTATTTCCACGCATGCTGCGTTCTCTAAATTTTTTGTTGATTTGACAGGACTGGTTTGGACTTGGTCAAAGGAGTTGTTAGGAACAACATCGAAGCTGGTGTGCTTGAGCCAGCTATGAGTAAAATTAAAATCATTCAGGTAAGAAACATGTGCTTTTGAAAGATTCCCTTTTAATATATGAAGATTTTTTGACAGATATGTACTGTCTCGTTTCTGGATCATTGTTCTTTGTATGTTGAGGTTAATTGCTCTGGTGTGTGGGGGTGTAAGATCATGCCTGATGTGACATCGGTATTTTTTGCAGTTTGCAACTGAAGCTGCAATTACAATCCTACGAATTGATGACATGATCAAACTGTTCAAGGAGGAAGATGGTGATCGGTGACATCACTTTCGCAGAAGGACACTGAATCAATTCTATTATCAAACGGGACAGCTCACTGACGAATCTTCAAGTTCGGCAATTTAACTTTCATCCTACTTTTTTCACCATGTGGGATTTCGATGTTCTACAACCCACGCAGAGTACCTGTGTTCATTAACTTTTCTTCATACTCCAATTTTACCTTACCCGGACGGGTTTTCAAGGTGATGGGTAGTCTGCTGAGATATTAAAGTTGGCATCACATCATGGGTGCACAGTTACAATTACATCGAATGATAGTCAGATGTTGCACATCCTGATTTAGTTTTTCTTTTCCTTTGGAAAGTGCCATGATATAAATTATTTATGACTTTATTGATGTAGAAAAGCAATTCGGTATCGAAGAAAGTGAAGTTTTGACTCGCATAAAATTATAACGTTTTTTTCATCATTTTAGGAATTCTCCAAAATTGCGTGTTCATTTGTTTAGGATTGTTAAGTCCTTGTTTCCTATGCTTGTTCATTTGTTTGGGATTGTTAAGTGACATTCCATATTTCCACAGTTTGCATGTTTCTACTTAACGATTAGACTTCTTGTCTCCAATAAGCACAACCTTAATTTCAGTACACTTCTTGTGTCGTTTTGATGTCTCTGTTTTCTCGCTATGTTTAATCAACAGTTTGTCGGAAAGTGGAGTTCTTTGAAGAGATTTGCACCTAAACATCGGTATATGCTTATGCTTCATGCACAAATGGTTAACCGCTGCAATTTGCCCAAAGGCAATATTTCCCAACTGTACCTCAGCTAAATTGGAAGTTGTCGAAACTTCTCACATTGAAGTCGAATTCAATTCTTCGCTTACGGCACACTTGTGCCCATGAGTTGAACCCTTAACAGACTTTACTACTCATATTAACTTTGTCTGAAGATCTTCTGGAGTGCAATTTTAGATATATACAGGTTTCCCAACCAGCCTATTTGCAGAATTGTATACAATTGTTTCAGTGAATGTGTCTACAAGAATATGTTTCGTCTTCGAATCAGTAAATACAGTGTCAAGTCTGTTAACGTTATGGAAAGTCGAGCTCGTGAGAGATGTGCAACTACCTGATCTGCGCACATACTGACGGATATGCCACAATCTTTTAGACCTAGAATTTCATTGTAGAAAACCCACGTTGTATATGAGCTCCTCGTTTTCAAACTTTCAAATCGGATTTACGTAGTGGATATGGCGGGACTCCTGCATCTACTGTAAGGTGGGCGTGAATGTTCGCCCCTTTAAGTGGCTGAGAATCTAAGTGCTCAAGTTCTTTTCGCTCCAGGATAAGAAGTTTTGGAGTTCTACGTGTGCTTTGCTGGTATGTTCACTCAAGCGTAGCGGATACTGAAAACCGCGGCAGCAATCGTGGCTATGGCCCTGTGATCACCATTCGCTATGCATCAGCTCTCCCCACGTCGGCATGCGCCGCATTTCAGCGATTCAGGCGGCAGGCCTGCACTTCAGTGTGTTTCATTTGTCACTCAGCCGTCTCTGAGGCTTCTTTCTACTTGTTTGCCATGGTCTAGGAGAAGTCTTGCTGGTGGGCTGTCACTTTATTTTCGCGGCAGTGGTTTACCAACGGAACGAACTTTAGGGAGAGCAGTTGTGGTCGAGGGAGGTGGATGGAAGAGGAAACCTAGATGTTTTGGAGTTCAGTGCGCAGATGACGAGAGAGTTTGGGCACCCACTGAGGACGAGCTCATCGAGGATAAAACCTCTGCTGGAGTCGAGAAAGACGCGTGGGAGAGTGACTTATCTGACGAAGACGTACGGGTGCTTGCAAAATTCCAATCCGTGTAAGTTCGCATACTTGCGTATTTGCGGGGCCTGTATAATAGAGCCATTTTGGGTGAATTTCGCTAAGGGCGCTGAAGATTCTTGATTGTTGGGTTGAAGTTTCTTGACAGTTGGATTGGCTCAAATTTGCTCGAAGAATCGCTCATCTTCGCCAAATGCTGCTGTGTGTTTTTACGCATAGTTTATATCAATCAAATAGTTATGGTTCTAGTTATCAATTTAACGCGGATCCCGATTCCAATTTGCTCAGGTATAACTTTGTACAGGTCTTGGAGGTTTCAAGAAGATCTGAACATCCATTGGCCGGCTGTAAGCTCCTTCTCCTTGACAGGTCTGGTAATATACAGAGTGTGTACCACCCTTACAAATTGATCACAAGCTCTTACTATGATATCTTCGCCTCGCTACCCCCTATTATTCCTGATGGCCCTGTGGGGATTCTTGGTCTTGGAGCTGGCACTGCTGCGCGGATGATCCACCAATTTTGGCCCCATATCAACTTACATGGCTGGGAACTTGACGCTTCCGTCGTCATGGTTGCCCGACAATTTTTTGACATGAAAGAGCTAGAAGAAGGAAAACCGCCCGTCAATGGAAGATCTGCGTTTGAATTGGAAGAAGATGCATCACAATTGGCAGATGAAGGATCCATAATTACAGGTACTTTGAGGATTTTTTAAATCTGAACAGTAGTTTCAATCACAACCGATATATGTTCGAGATTCTTTGAATAATTTGTAAGTTAATACTGGCTTATACTTTGTAGTTTTGTGTCTTGCAGGCAGTCCAGGAACTAACTCAAATGACATTGGGAGGTTAGTAGTGCATATAGGCGATGCCCTTAGCTGTAAAGCACCAACGGAGGAAGGTTTTGCAGGCCTCATTGTTGACTTGTTTAGCGATGGAGCGGTGATACCTGCCCTTCAGCAGCCTCAAACTTGGCAGCACCTTCGTGAACAACTGAAGCCAGGAGGTAAGTAGCAAAATCAATCATAGCCAGCATTTCTTCAGGATGGTGGTCTGTGATGTCTTTTTAGTAGTTTGCTACAGGATCCCCATTAAATAGTACGGGACTCGGGACAATGAAGTGAATTCCAGTGAACTGTAGATCTAATTGCTCTCAAATGGATATTATTCGTTATGAGCTTCCAGGCGATAACCTTTTCATTCCCGATCACCATTTCTAAACTCTAAAACGTGTAACTGCATCGTAGATAATAGCTGCAGTTTAGCTGCGGTATGCAGAAGGCTTCTTAGATGGCTTCCGGGAGATGTAATGGTCTCCGGTTCGATTATTTAACGTCTCTTGGCGGCTGATCATAGGAGATGATATTGACTAGTTTATAACGAACGTGAAACTTGTGCTTAGCTCTTATAAATTGCTAATGAGAATAACAAAAGTTACGATTTTACAGGTCGCATCATGGTCAATTGTGGAGGTTCTTGTGTGGAAGCAGATGGGAAGCATGCTAAGGATGGTAATACGACAATGGAGGAAACAATCCACGCATTAGCCAAGATTTTCCTTAACGAGGTCCTCCGATTCGAATTTCCTGGAAAATCGAATAACTCTGTAGCTCTGACAGGTCCCTCCCCTGACTGCCAAGCTTGGGAGCAAGCCCTGCCCATAACATTGAGGGACACCGTGTACGGTTGGTTGCCAATCTACTGAGCCTTCGTCTCGCATTGTACGTCGTCCTTGAAAATTTGATGTGTTCGGTATTTTTATCTTTTTTCGTAGCCGCACAAATCCATGTCGGACCCAACCCACAACATCGAATGCTATGCTAACGTCCTCTTGAGGGGCAAGGTTGCCTAACTTAGCTACAACACAAATGTTCAATTTTTTTGACCATGAGAAATATGAGGTAGCTATGTTGTCATGTGGGCTTGTTTCTTCAGGAATATTTATGTAGAAAACAAATGGGTGAACTACCACTTCTCAACTTCATGGTTGGAACTACAGTTATCTCGCTCATGATATTTGTAATTTGCTCTTATCTCAAGCTCCACGAACTGAACTGGAGTATTCAGAGAGGAAAGTGTCGGTTGTAATAAAGTTATGCGACAAGTAGCTCTTCGAATAAAAAGAAATCATGTGCTGGTCTCTCTCTGGAGCCTTCCAATGCGGAAAGACCCTTTTATCTTTTGACTCTCGTTTCCCACGTCGGACCCACACTCTTATTCTTAAGCTCTTTGCGGCAAGTGGTCCTCGGTGGAGGCCTTTTATTCCTCCGAATGTTGCCATTTCAATGACCCGTGATTTGGTCAGTACAATCTATTCAGTAACTCCCGCCTACCTGCATACCTTGTTCGACCTAAGTTACAAGTTAGAGGAGCGTGGTGCGAGGATTCCAGCAGTGCTACGAGGAGAAAACTTAGCACTCGTTGGGAAACGAGTTGCTTGATTTTAATGATGATTCACAGGATTCTCCTTTACCGTTGTTACTCAACCAACCAATCTGATTCTCAAGTTCACGGTTGCAGAGATTTGTGAATGTCGGTTCTGATTGCCTTCGAGAATGAACACGAAGGCTATATCAATGAACCCCGTAAACAAAGCTCGAGCTCGAACACTAAGTCGATATGTGCAGGGGGCCTGAAGATTTGGACATGTTATGGAGGTTCCGATGAACAACCCAAAGATTACGGCAATGGACTGGAACGACAACATTAGAAAATTGTGAGACAATCCTGGACTCGAATGCGAGTGGTTTCTGCAGTTTCCGGTGCATGTGAATATATATATATATATATATATATTAAGCAGTATCCAGCATTGAATCTCAAGAGTTTTGAAGCACCTTAAGCTAGGATGTAAAGTCACCAAAACCAACAGACTGTTGGGTGCAGAGGCTGCTGCATGGCACGTGAGGGTGTCCCATGGGAGATTTCATTGCAAGCCACCGCGGTTACGGAATGCCATCTCTCGCAGCGTATTACCCATTTGCATTCAACCCAGCTCCTAGTGTCCTTCCCGAAGGTGATTGCAGCAAATCATTGCTCTTGTCGAAAGACCCATTTGGTTTTGTGGGCATCATTCTGCTCTGCTGGTACCAATTGCTGATTCCTGCAATCAATTGAACCATGAGTGCTTCCTTGTGGCTCTGGAAACTTGGAATCTCAATCTGCTGTGTCCTTGCTGTGAGTTCGTAGTTTGGGTGTGATGCCTGATTGCTATCAACCGATGACTTGCGTACTCGCCGTTTCGGCGATCGAAGCTTGAGGTTCCTCTAGTGTTAGTCTAAAGGAGGTTATGCCTATGCCTCATCTCATACCGATGAAGGTTTTGTGGTCGTTGTTATTCCACGTGCTTGACCATCAACCTATAATTGATGGTTTGTTGCATATGTCAGAGCAACAGCTGGTAGATTTATTACCATTGTTATCTTATTACTTTATCAAAAAACTGATTAGTACTGGCGTGTACTTGTAACCTAATATTTGTTTCATCCAATTGCATTTTTGTTTTTAATATCTAAAATTTCAGAACAAAAATAGAATAGAATCTAGAAGATGTGCACTTGGTATAGATGGATGATGTCAATATTGATTGTTTTCTAATGACGATTAGTTTTGTGGATTATTGTGTAATATGCACCAATTGCTATGAAATTTCTAATCTTAATGAAATATATATGTAATTAATACCACTCACAGGTTTATTTAAAGAAGTTTAGTAAATGTATTTCAAGGTTTCAGTTTTACATGCTTTTAAAATGCAATTTGTCACATTTTTTGTCACAATAATCTGGCCTTTACATCTATTAAATGGTGCTAATAAGTATATGTTTGCAATCAAGCAATGTTTTAAATAAGTGTAATTTTCTTAGAGTTGCTACTTTAACTGGTAATAATAATAAGAAAAAAGTTGCATAATTTTTTTCTTCATTGTATGAAATATGTGAGATCCTATTTATAGGCGTTCAAATATTTACCTCTAGAAATGCAAACATTATGATGGGAAAATGACTAAATCAGCACATTAAAAATCCAATCCTTTAGCTTTACTTCACTCATTTTCCAACTCAACCCACACAAAATCAACCCTTGAAATATTCACAAATAAATGAGATGATTGTAGTATTATTATTTTAAAAATATTTACTAATTCTAATAGATAATTTATAATTTTTCTTTTTAAATATAAATATACATGATGAAAATTAAGAAAAAAAATAAAATAATAATAGTTGTAGATGATATTGGTCAAATACCATGACACTTCCATGCAAAGAATGAGTTGCTTTTGATTAGAGTTTTTGATCATATTCAAGACCAGGTGTCCATGTGGTTGTTTTGGAGTTAAAGCTCCAATTTAATGTACAATCCACAAGTCCATAGGACTGAAACATTGCTTCTATGTTCTCTTGACTCTTCTTTGGCAAATTTATAACCCTTTAAATTCAAAAATACATTACCAAGAAATAAAAATGATATTATATATGTCTGTATATATATAAATAAAATAGCAATATCAAATACAATCATTAAGGGGATTTAGACTTACTTATCTTGTAAAAAAGATGATTTTGAAATCAAAGTATCACAAAAAAGATGCATGAAATATCTTAAACCATGTAGCTTGTGTCAGTTCTCTACCCTCTTTGAATCTATACCACATTGCTGACTTACCAAGCCTTTGCACTCCAAAAAAATTGAAATCCTAAATCTCTTTGATTCCATAGCACACTGCAATCTTGTCCTTCTTCTATGCTTTGAAAAAAACAAATCCTAAAACTTTTGGATTGCATATAATACTGCTACCTTATAATGTATTGGCGCTCCAAAAAGCATTAGATCCTTTATGACAAAGAAATATTATTTACTTTCTTAACTAATGAAGAACAATACAAAGAAGTTGAAAACATGTTTGAAGACAACTTCTTTGAGTTTGATAATGTAAATAAACTTGCGGTGGTTCATGGCACAATCAATAGTACTTAATACATGTTCACTCAAAATATTATATCTAAATTGATTGATTAAGTTATGAATCATTTTATATCCAAGCTTAATGCTCAATTTTGACAAACTACAAAAACATCAAGAGAAGGCTTTTAGATAGTATTTTCAACCATAAAAGACCACCGTATTTTCAAAAATAAGAGCCATTGCTCTCAAAATAAAATTGCATGATAATTGGCTATAGTACTAAGGTGCCTTCAATCATACAATAATAGAGCCAACATTGGTGAATTACGAAGGGCCTAGGGTATTGGCAACAACATAGTATATATATTTGTAAATCAAGTGATTCAAGCAATTTTTCCACTCAAATATTAATATATGCAATAGCCAAATACTATCCAAAGGCTTTAGATTAGTTAGTCATTTAGTCTTCTAGGATTTAACAATTATATCAGACTTATCAATGAAATAAATTTTTTTTGAGCCATTACCTAAAGAATGACGACAATGTATTTTTTGACTTAAAGAAGAAGTATGTTATGAATACCTAGGTTGTGTGTGACCTTGATTGCTATATTATTGAGCTAATCATAGGTTGGCTTAGATTGTGTCCAAACTTAACAATATTGAAGAAGATGAGGATATTCAAAAACTCCAAAAAATACTTTGATGATGGACATTATTTCTTTATAGACTCAGTATATAATATAAGTCAAATGGAAATTTGTAGCGATAAGATTCCAAATGCTAGTTAGTTAATAAATAAGAAGTTTAATTATTGTTTGGCAAAAGCCCAAGTTACAAATAAATATTGTATTGGGATTTTAAAAAGCAGTTGGACTTTGCTTAGAAAAGTCCATATCCAGCTCATTTATGATATAAATATGAAGTTTTTTGTAGACTAAATTTTTTATATTTTTAGTTTTACATACTATATTGGTCAATTTAGATGACATGTAGATAACTAAATTTATGGAGATTGAGAAAGAGCCATAAGAAAATTTTGATGTTACATTGAGAGTGGTAATTCTCCTTTAAAAAAAAAAATGAATAAAACAATGATATACAATTATGCATTTGATGTTTTACAAATGCATAATTTAGACTAGTTTATTCTGAGGCAGTTTAGGATTTAGCATATTTGGCAATCAATATTTTAAATACATAGTATTTTTTTATATATTGTGCAAATAAAAATTTTAAAAAAATATTTTGGTTCTTAATATAGTTTTACTTGCCTTTACAATGTTATATAATGAATTGTATTATCCCAAGGTTTCTAAAATTATAAAAAATAGAATACATGAAAAACCAAGAAAATGAGCAACTAAAGTTTAGTTTTTCACATATAGCTAGTATGCCTTGTGTATTATATCTATATATAATAATAATCTAAATTGAAATTAATATGTGTAAGAACAAAGATTTAGGATGTTGGAAGAAGTGATTTATTGATAATTAGTGATTTTAATACAAGAGAAGTGCCGATAGAGGACCAAAATTTTGGGATGTAATATAGTGGGATTTATGATTCATGAGTTGTTTGGTGGATTCTATCAATACACTTTTCTCCTCCCTTTTCCCTCCTAGACTCAATACCTCTTTGAATTATCAAGTATTGCATATTATATCTAAGTTTAGTATTGATTAGCAAACATGGATTTATAGAGCACCTTTGAGGAATTATAAAAGAACTATTATAAGTAAAACTTTATTAAAGAGAAGAACTTAAATAAGATATATAAAAAAGTAAAAAATAAATCAAAGATGCAGGAGTCAACTTCAAATCCTAAATCCTAAATCAAACCCTAATCCTAAATCAAATCCTAATCAAATCCTAACCAAATCCTAAATCCTAAACCAAACCCTAATCTTAAATCAAACCCTAACCAAATCCTAAATCAAATCCTAGTAATTCCTATAACAGATTTAAATCTCAATTACTAATAAATGAATTATTGATCTTAACTCAAAATTTGCATGCTTTTTAACAATTAAGTTGGCAACAAGCACAATTTTTTTTTAAAAAGGATCGGAATTACCAAATAGATGATAGCCTCAAAAACGTGTCTGGATATTAGCTGGCCTCCTTCTCCGACCTTGATGCCAATCTTCGAGAGTCAATATCTCTCTTTATCACCATTTGGTTGATCTCAAAATTCTCAAACACATAGGAAAACAAGTCTAATATACTTATACACAAATTTCATTCCAATCCAACTAGTAGATTGCAAAAAATCTTAAAAACCCTCACCGGACCTAAAATTCTACTTTTTGAGACCTAGACCCACTTAAACCCCAATAATCCTCAATTAAACTATTAGATTGAGCTAAGATTCACAACACATATTAAGCACAACTATGAACATTAACCCACAAAATTTCACTAATAGATCTATTACAAAACTCTTGAAATCACTAGAAACATCAATCCTATTTTATTTCACAAAATTCAAGTCATCCAAAAACAAACTTGACTTTGTAAAGCTCTTACAAAGTCATAACAAATTCAAATCATCCAAAACCAATGCTCATAAAAAAAATATCTAGTTTGCTATCAAATCCCATTCTTAGATTTGTAAAAGAATCCCAAAATTGTCGTCGAGACTTGGTTATGTGCCTTAGGGTCTGATTTTGACTCTGGTTCATAACTGGCCCTCTCCGGGTATCAATATCAAGTTTTTTTAAGTAAATTTTGCTAGAATTTACTCTTAACTTCCTTTTAAAGATGCCTATATCATTTATTTTTCTAATCTACTTTATTTTATCTTATTTATGGTCCTACAAAGTAAGTAGAAGTCACCTTTCTAAAAAAGCAACATTGAAACCTTTTAGTTTTACAACCCTTTTTACTATTAACTATATTTCTAAGATAATTTGCTCTAGTACTTTGAATTAAGATCTCCTACATTATAATAATTTCTACACTCTTTCACCTATTAGTCATGTTATATCATGACAACGTATCTAGTGACCAATCATATGTAACCACAAATTTGGCTTTAAAAGTACACAATTGACTTTGCATATTTGTTGCAAAAAAATTGAACTTGCCTTTCAATGCCTTATTTGCTTAGGCAGCGTGTTGCACCAAAGCTCCATTCTTGCTCATTTGCTTCTTGCATACCTCTATCTTATTAGAAGCGTATAATTTTTTGAAATTTATTGAATCTTCTAGCTAGCTAACAATTGTGATATATTCATTTACATTGAAATGACATCCATTGCCATTCTTTGTAGGATTTAGGATTTTTTTTGGAGACATAATGAATAATTAAAAAAAATGAAAAGGTTTGTTATTAAATGTTAAGTTGACATATTAGATTAACTAGATTTCACTTGATATGTCATTTAATTATTAAGTCATACTTTAGAAACTTAAAAATAATATTTAAGTTTGAATGGTGATATTTGATTAGATGAAATTTTGAATGATTCATGATATTTGGTTGCCTAAAAATAATAAGTTTGAATCCTCTTATTACAAATATTAGAGTGGTTATCTTATTAAAGTATAATTTTAAATTATTGAATAGGAAAAATAAAAATAATCATGAGTAAATACATATATATATATATATATATATATGTATATATAATAAAATTATATTTATATAAAAAAATATATATAAAAAATATTCTAGTATTGATTTTAATAAGTAATTATTGTATAAAATTAATTAGTTTAAAATAAAAATAACATATTTTAAAATAGAAATTTCGAAAATATTATATAAAATATTAATTATAAGTCATAATTATGGTATTTAATTATTTAAAATAGAAATATATTAAAATATTAAAATATTATAGTTTCTTTTTATCTTTATTATTTCTAATTTTTATACTAAAATATCATATAATATATTAAAGAACTACATATGTTAAATTTTATTTAAAAATTAATTATTTGACCTCCTATCATTAAAAAAAAGAATAAGTTAACTATTCATTTTTTTAAAAAGTTATGAAGAAATCTTATGATATCATTAAAAGAATCACTAAAATTCAACTTTAATAAAAATTAAATACACAAAATAGTAATAGGAATATAATTTGATATTATTAATTTTAATTATTTTTCAAAAAAATGTGGAAGATGTAATGGCAAAATGTCTTGAAATAATTATATACAAATAAATAAAAATATGGTAGTCTTAGAAGAAAAACATTTAAAAATTTCATAATTTAAAAAGTTAAGAATCAATTAAAAATTGGTGCATTTTTTTCATATATATATATATATATATATATATATATTTATTAGGGTCTTTTAAAATGAATACCGTAAAGAAGTAAAAAGAAACCTTAATATGATATTGATCAAATGTTTAATAATAATAAATTATTATTTTAACTTATAGATGCATTGTAGTGGATTTAGGTAGAGCAAAGTATTTACTTATATTAATGAGCAAAGCAGCAAAGCTTTTGCTATTGATGCACAATTTAAATTTAATTTAGATGATGTATTTTAAAACTCAAGAAAATTAGAAGAATTATTATATTATAGATTTTAATTTGATATTATCTAATAGTAGAAGTATATATATATATATATATATATAAACTAATTCATAGATGTATCAATAAAAAAATTCTACTACAATGTGACTTGAATCCTTATATTTGTTATTTTTTTATTATCTTCATATATTATATATATCATGGTATGATATATATAATATATATTTTGTATATAAAAAAATTTGTATACATTCACCATGTAGGATTGATACATCAATATAGGTATTGATGCAGGTTAAAATAAAACATTTGTAAATATTACAGGAAACATGCATATACTTTTAAACAGCTTTTTGTTCAGTTTTTTATTTATCATATTTAAAAATCGTGCTATCGGAAACAAATAAAAAATGAAACGTCTTAAGATATGTAATTTAAATGTAGTATTTTAGCAATGAATATGTTGCACTATTTCATGTAAGAAATATTCAAATCATTAAAACCTTTTCCAGTAAAATTGATGGTTTTACAGCATGGTTTCAAATTTTTTGGACAAGAAAGAAAAGAATCAAATTAAATCAAATAGATTAAAGGAAATCCTAGTAATCAAATAGATATTTTTTTAAAGTATGTCATTTACTACAGATTCTGATCAAGCGCTTGTGTAATGTATGCACTTCTCGTTAAATACATAGTTACGGTATTTGTGAGTAATATCAAACTATAAAAGTCTACTCCAAGTATGCAAAGCTAAGAATCATTTCAAGCTGTTGTGGACTACTGGGTAGTTTTTGTCCTACAGGAAACTCTTTGATGATTTTTTCATAGTATATTCCAATATTACCTGTCTTGAGTATTTTGAATCCTTCAGATTAGTACGACTTACCTCCTTCCAAATATATCAAATTTCAAGTGTTATTATCTTGGGCACTTGCCAAATCATGATTTACGCTAAAGAAGATGAATGTTGTTGGATTGCATTGAAAGCTAGGAATCATGTGTTCACACAAAACACATGATAATTTGCACCTGAGGTTCTTCATTTGAACTGCTTGCTACCTGGCTTCATTTATGGTTGGTTGAATAAACAAATGAATAAAACTTAAAAGCTCACAAGATCAAAGAAGTGGATGGAGGCTTTCTCGAATACCATTGACACTTGAACTGACTCCATTTTCACACTGGAAAAATACTATTTTGTTTCTTCCTTTAATTGCTGCATTAAAAAAAAAAAAAAAAAGAAAAAGAAAAGAAGATAGAAAAGGAAGATAGAAAGAGAGAAAGAAAAAAGAAAAAAGAAAACAAAAAAATGAGGAAAACCTCAAAAATCATAAAGGAAAAAAAGGTTGCATAGAGAGAGGCAGACAATAAGGAAGGTGGGGGCAAGGGTGGGGGTGGACATGAGAGTTCTTAAAACAAACTTGCCAAAAATGGAACAAAAAGCTCAGCAAGGTGAAAGAGTAAGAAAGTAAAAAAGTGAAACAAATATCTCACTGTTCCTTAATCATTCTAATTTCCATTTAATTTGGTGTTGGAGATTTCACCAATTCATCACTGCAGATGTAGTTTGACTGTTCTACAAACCTTGTTAACCAGTGGAATGCTCATGTGACAGCCATGCCTTTTTACCATTACCACCCCCTCACACACTCACACACACACACACACACACCTATATTTATATATATATATATATATATATATGCTGATTTCAGATGCCCTTCATTGAAGACATGGGTGCTCACCGAAGTGTGCCAAACACACCACAGTTAGGAAATATTCCGAGAAAAAGAAAACAAGAAGCAGAGAGGAGGATGGAAAGAATAAGCAATGTAGGTGCAGAGCTTAGTCTGTGCGCCTCTGTCACTGGGAGCACAGTGCCTGGCGTTTTGACTAGTCTTGTGCTCTCTCATCTCATCTCATCTCTAGTTGGAGAGAAAGAGAGGCACATGAGATATCTTGTATGATTCAAGCTTTTTGAGTGGTGAACAATAATGCTTAGGGCTGACTGAGTTGGCGATGCCATATCACTATCAGAGTAAAAGAATTCAAAAGAAAAAAGAAAAAAGAAAGTAAAAAGAGTAAAATAAAGCATCAGGTGTTTTTTCATCAAACTTTGCCTCAAAAACTTTGCCGGTTTCATTTAGGTGAAACCCAACAGGAGGGGTCAGTTCTCATCAGCAAGTTGCCGACGTAGTACACGCCATGTTGTGAGATAACAACATCGGCAACAGTAAATAGTACCAAAAAATGGAGCAAGGTTACTAATACTAAAAAGCTGTATTTCAGCATTGCAACAAAGTTTCCGGGGTGAATTATGGTTTGTGGAAGGCCGGCAGGCCATTGGCGTTGAGACGGTGAAGAAGTGTTGGCTCCATCCAACAGATGGAGGAGCTGTGAGAGACGCATGTCATGGTTTCATGTGCCGAGCCAGAGCTAGCCAGTGTTAGCAAGTAGCCGAAGATTTGCACAGTAACAATCCATGTCGTGACAGATGAATAGGGATCTGTAGATAATATGGGTGCTGTAGAATATGGCACCAGAGCACATACTTTTATTTTGTTTCGGTGAGTAATTTCTTTCTGTTTTTATTTGAATTTATTATTTATGGTTTTTTTATCAAGGGGTGGATTTGAATTCACGCAAAAGATAGCAAATGCAGGGTTAGGGTCTGGCCGAGGTGAGGGGATGGTCTAGTCAGAAAAATCTGTTTGTTTTTTCTCTCTACTTGGAAGGAGTGGAACGGAGGTGAGCCGAATGCGAAAGGAGAGCTTGTGCGATGATGTTGGTGATGATGTTGATGCGAGTGAACCTTGGAGCCTCGAGCATCTCTCCCCATTCAACGCTTGCAAGGCGTCCTGCTCTAGCTGCTGGGACTAGGCCATTTCGAATGGGCCCTGGGGCATGCATCATCATCGCTTCACTTATGTCCTCCATTACACCTTCGCAGTCAGCATAGGGAGTCGGAACCGGGGCTGCTTAACAGTTGTTTCATCGACGCATGTACCGTGGCGCTTCACTGGACTGCCTCGAAGATTCTGATGGCGTAATTCGGAACTGGTTGTGCACTGGCTGCGCTTTTACATTGCACCGAGAGGATGTTAGGGGAGGTTTGAGAGAGAGAAAGAGAGAGAGAGAGAGAGAGAGAGAGAGAGAGAAAGCGCTTGACCTAAAGGTGAGTGATGATCGTGCTTATTACCTTTTTACGCAACTGCGGTGATGGTGCTTAGGGTTTGGCGAGTTTTGAAGTTTGCAAGGGGGGCTGGCGAGTTTCGTTGATAGTTGCTGGCGTGGCGTGAGAACATTAGTTACCGAATGTTGATGGAATTGGGGTTTGGGAGCGAGGGTGAGGTGGACAGAGGTTGAGCAGGGGTAAGGGAATTAGTGAGGGAATGGGAGTAGTGAGTGGATTGGAATGTGTGTATTCAAGTTGGAAGTCAAGGTGAATTGTGGATGGTGTTGCATTGCCAGTGTTGCGAGTGCCGCAAGTCTGGAGTGATGGATGGGGGAGATGGCACACATGGTTGATGGGTTAGGATTTCTTGGAATGGGTGAGTGTGATTTTGGAGGGTAGTTTTTTTTTGGTCGCGGACGGGACAATGGAGTATTGTGATGAAGATATGGGGTGATGGTTCAGACTGAGCAATAGCTCCGAGGTTGATTCTTGCATGAAGATTTCGCCTTTGATTTGGTACCCCCCCCCCCCCCCCCCAGCGTTTCTGTTTCTGCTTAGATTTCGGTTTATTCAGCAATTTGGTACGCGAGGCAGTGTACATATGATCGATGGAACCGCAGATTTTAAATTTTATTCGCTCCATAAGTGCGCTACTGTAGTGTAGTTCAGAAAGCGATGGTTTAGTCGTGCAGCGTCGACGAAGCGGAAGGTGATGCTTTCTAGATATCTGTGAAACAAGAGGCTGATCGCACTCGCCTTCTTGAGTCTCTGCGTCAGGAAAAAGGGCCGCACGGTGCAATTAATCGTTTTTCATTCCTATTTTTCAAGGAAAATTTCAGGAACTTTTGAGCCGGAATTTAGGTGTATTGAGTGTGACACATATTTGGATTCAGCTCATCATATGAATCTGAGAAATCGAGTTGACTACCTGAAGGACGAGAATATAATGAGTGTTACTGTACTATCTATTCTTATGGGGTGCTTCTCGATAAGGTGTGATTTCGTAGCCACCTCATGAATAGTGTCGTACGATATCATTGAGAAATTCAGGTTTGAGCAAACTGCATGCTAGGTCTTGTGAAGCAGAATGATTTGTTTTGTTACTTCTCTGTTTTTTAATTTAGTTAGAGTCTGATCTTTAACATTGTGAAGTCGCGCTTTAATGTCAGTGTACTTAAGGATATTCAATTAAGCAACTGCTTTCAACAATGGATACGGATTTCCTTGGGACTCGTCATGTTGAACTTGGAGCACTGCCAAGCTCTTCGGTTAAACTCTGCATGGATACCTGCTCTTCGCAAACGAGTCTGATCATTCGCACCATTATTCCAATATTTCACAGGTTTTGGTTCAGGTCTCTAAGCAGCGAATACAGTTAAAATTTATCCGAGTATTCTTAGAATTAAGGTCCTTGCCTAAGATTCCGTATGCAGCATGCAGTGTTTCGAGCTTAAGTCACCTCGCAGTGGTAGTCTGTAGTGACGTGAGGATCCTCTTCGATTTCTTCAGCTTAGGTTGACAGCTCGAAAGCGAGTAAGCTGCTGCGTTACGCTGGATTCCACTGCTGCAGATGTGTTGCTTCGAAATTAAGTTATGTGTCTGCGAACTTCTGACGTGATATTGGTTTGGTGGTGGTTTCATTCGAGAATTGTGCCCGACGCTTGAGTTGTTGGATTAGGTTATGGTCACGTGGACGATTATACATTCAAATCCGAGGTTATATTGTGTCATCACCAATTTCTATGTTGTTTCTGGTTAATCCGAATGTCGATCATCTCTCAAATCATTTTATGTTAACTGATTTGCAGTTACGCTGTGTCGCGAGATTTATGACACGGTTTGCTCACTTCAATCGATGGAAGGTGGACCTGTAATGGTTACCTTCTCGTACTGGATTAAAATGCGAGCAGAGTGAAGATCAGTCTGTTTGTCGATGGTGAAATTGAGATGGATGCCTCACTGCGAAGGGAGTGTTCAGCTCCAGAAGTTCCTCTGCAAGTCGAGGCCTCTGGCGGCACAGAAGCTGGTTACAATATTGGGAAGCAAGGCACCTCGGGCGTTTTAGAAGCGCAACCAACTGGAGTATCAAGTGTTGAGCCGATGCAAAATGCGGAGGCTTCACCTTTAGATGGCAGCTCAAAAATGCCAGTTCACGTGTCGAAAGGGGGCACTAATGAAAATTTTAGGGTTTTTGGCTCCAGTACAGCTGAGAATCTTGTTATGCCTACTCTCCAAAATTCTGACAACGGGAATGTTGAAACATTGAAGAAAGAGCATGTGCTGAGTTTGAAAAAGAGTTCAATAGAGAATGGAGCAAAAAGGGAGAGCGAATTAAGTAATGGGTCCAAGGGTGTTCTCAAAGACATCCCGCCAAAGGTGATATTATTATGGAAAGTGCTTTGTGGATATCAGCTTTGTGTCTAGCTGTTTTGTTGTCGAACTTTCCAGGACAAGTTGGCGAACATAAGTTCTCGATTAGCACCTATTGTCGTGAAGTTCAATTTATAGAAGAAAGAAGCAGAGTACTTTGCTTTCCTTGCTTTTGAGGTGAATGAGGTGATCTTATAATAAATTTAGCAGTGCAAGATGAATGTGCGAAGGATTGTTACATGGAAATTAGCTAAGGCAATCTAGTAAGATTATCAAATTGCTGGGTTTTCATTGTTAGGATCTTACTTGTTCCACGCTTTATTTAGAAAGTGTTGTCGCTGAAAACCACAGAGATATGCCAATACCAGCAGTGCTATATTCTATTATAGCAATGTTCATACCGATGAATCCCGTGACTAACTAAGTACTTGGTGTATATCATTAGTCGCAAGTTCCAATGCGGAAATTGGCAAGGAAGAGTGGGTTGTTGAAATCAGAAACAATCCCTGCGCCGAAAACTGAGTTATCTGTTGCTGATGCGGTGAAGGAAGGTAATTCTACTTAGAATCTTTGGATGTTTGGAGGCTTGTGATTGTTTTGCACTTACTTGATGGTATACGTGTTTTTGTCCGTTGCCTCAATTTTGTTATAGGCACACTTCTTTCATCATTTGCACTAGACCTTTTAAAAACGTGTAGATGCATGACGTATGACTTGTCATTGTTTAAACTGAGGTGGATGTGAATCGTTTCTGAGGCACAAACGATAGGTACACTGTTGTTAACGTTCCACTAAGTGCGTTTTCTTAGATGTTGTGTCGTGGTGGTGAGTTGACAGGGATACTGAAGAAAGAACGAGAAGAGCAAGATAGGAAGGAGGCAGTAGATGCTGTTATGGAAATTCATGGTGTGAGGAAACAAGTTACCGGGCATGCAGTTTCCTTCCCTGGAGTAGCGGGGCCTGAAAGTGGGAGATTATGTCATTGTTGTAGTCGGCCAGAAAGTTCCAAGTCCACTATATTTTGTGACAAGTGTGAAAGGGGCTTTCATGTGGATTGTGTGAAACATTGGCCAAAACCGGCTCAAGAACTTGATGTATGGCACTGTGGACCTTGTGGTCTACAGCCTGGTCACTACTGGCCCTTGGGCAGGGTTTTAATAATTTATGATAATGCAGTTGCGGAGTACAAAAAATATTCTTCAAGTTTCTTGACGACTTTGCAGAGGAAGGAAGAATCGAGCTTTGGTACCTTTTCACAAGGCATGGGTCAAACGACACATGAGAAGTCTGACGGACTTGAAGGTGTTGCAAAAGTTAAAGTTATAAGAGATTTTAAGAAAGAAGCGAGAAAGGGAAACTCTAAAGTAAGCAAGGCCGTTACCTCCAGTGTATCAGTTGTTTCAAAGGCAGGTCCTGGGATGCCCTTGCATGTTAAGGAATTTGGGTCAGTGACTGATATCGAAGCGTCAGGAGAATCCGTACAACAACCAAAGTAAGTAGTAGCAGTTCAGTCGTTTTCTTTAGTTTCTGAATGTGCTTTTCCATGTTTTTAAGGATGCGTACCGCATTGTTTGTACCAGTGTAGATATTTTAATTGTCATGAACTGCTCTTTCTTGTTATGGAGTTTACATGGTGAGTAAACGTTGTCAGTAATTACTCAAGCATCATCGGCAGACTAAGATGTTCAATTCACGATGTTGTTTGCAGGCCGCTTAGTTACTCTGGGTTTGTACCTATACAGCCCAAATCTTCGTTGAGCTCTATTGCTCCGATTGTGAATTTCATGGTCCCTCCTGAAGCAAATGCTGTCAAGACGTTGACATCTCCAAATGTTCCCATTCCGCCCAGTCATCAATCAAGGAATATCTTGCTGTTTAATGAATTCACTGTGAGTAGCACACCAGGTTTTTCTCACACAGGGTCCATATCCTCACATGTGGCGGAACCTAAAGTTCTGTACACGACGAGTAAAGACTCAACAGGTCCAACAGCTTTAAGCTCGAAAATTGAAATTGCTTCAGTTCGCTCTCAGCATCAGAAAACCTCAGTTATGGATCAGTATGCTGCCTCACCTAAGCCAAATTTATTAGGCTTTTCGCATTTGTCTTCCACCCCGAACCAAATGAGTGTCCAGCAGAAAACAGCTCTAGCAAGTGGAGCTGTTAGCATAGAGGTTTCATCTACGGAGAGACTCAGGCCTTTTGCAGTTGGAGAACGCTTAACAGAGAGGGAGGAACTTCTGAAAGAAGCAAAAGATTCTCTGAATCAGTTGCGAACGTTCATAACTGCTCTTAAGGGAAACCTTGCAGAAGACTGGCGTGTTATTTTAAGGAAGAGACCTACGGGTGCTCAAGAGAAGTTTTATCTCTCTCCAGCTAAACGGAAGTACAGGTCTAGACAAGACGTGGCTCGGTTCCTTGGCCTTGTGGATGATCCCAAATGTCAGAGAACAAAACCTTGCAATCTCGGGACTTCATTAGATAAGCCATTGGACAAAAACAACTCCCACCCACCAGCAAGTCAAGCCAATGCAGTGGTGTGTGCACATGCTTTTGAAGTTTCTTTTCATTATCTTTGCGTCATGCAATACGCTTTGTTAACGTGGTCTGCTTCTATTTGTGATTAATCGTTCTAAACTGCTGTTTCAAGCCTTGTTGCCTTGCACCATATGTTTACCGTTTTCAAGTTCTGAAACGACTATCTACTTTGTTTAAGAGCTGTAGTTTTCTATGGAATAGGAACGTCATCTGATTACTTTGTTGCCCTTCTTTATTATGCTGGTACCATCCTTCAGTTTGGTTTGTATTGTATTTTCGTCTGCTCGTGTCTAGGCCTTCTGATACACTTGTGCACCAATTTTCATCACCAGGAAGAAAGTTCATGAACACAGAAATGGTTTGCTACATAAGTATGTCTTAGCTAAGGGTTTAGGTGGTTCTGTTTCAATTTTTATTGCTTCAGTTAAAGAAAAATGTAAATTGGTGGATAATTTTTTTTCGCCTGCAGACAAATTTGCCCATGTTCTGTGGAGATGTGATGATTGAGAAGCTTGGGGTAATCGACTCTCGGCCGACATATTCTGATGAGCATCACATTTGGCCTGTTGGTTTTCGGTCTTCTTGGCATGATCCTGAGACCAGATCATATTGTATAAGTGAAGTAGAGGATGGTGGAGAATTAGGACCAATTTTTCGTGTCACAAGAAAGCTCGTGATAGTTCCTGCAAACGGCAAAAATGATCTTTTGGCAACTTCGAGCTTAGGGGAAGCTGCATTGGATATAAGTGGTATTCCTGTCGAACCCAAGAAAGTAAAGATTTGGGAGGATATATCTAGTTCACATGAGGTCACATCGGAAGTAGTCAGTGCTAAGATAGGAGATAGTAGCATATTCAAAGTGCCCACAGAAGGCAATCAAATAGATGCTCAGAAACAGCACACAGAGGTATTTAACAAGCACGCTTCCAAGTTTGGAGTGAACATTGAGGCAGGTAGTGAGAAAGAGGGGGTTTCCCAATTTGAAGAAGCTCGTGAAGGTAAAACTAGCATTATGAACGGTGACCCTTCAAGTGCTTCATCTACTAAGCAGATTTTAGCTAGTCACTCTATCGGTCAATCTATTATTGACCTCACAGAAGAGAAAGAACTCCCCCTAAAGCCTCATTCGGAGACTGTATTAGATATCAAGGTGTCCGCTTCAGATGTCAAGGGTGATCTCAGTACCATAGATGTGACGAAAGATGCATGTGCCTCGGAAAACGTGAAAGTGAACCTTCACCATTCCGAGACTCCACCTGTGGTGATTGAACTATCTGATGAAGAGGATGAGAAACCTTCATCTTTAGTATTTTCAGACAAAGCGTCAGCTGCTGCTAGAGAAGGCCCTGGAAAAGCTTCGGGGTTTTCACTACCGCACATCAAACCTCTCCCAAATAACTTGATGGAAGAGCTCACTGTGGAAGCTCGAAGGCCCGGTGAAGCCTGGAAAGTGTTCGGTAAGAAATTTGTAGAGCAGTGCAAGAAATCCTTGGGGTCCGGTCTTAATTGTGCTGTTCCCATTCTGGACGCCACCAATGACTACGTGATTTACAATTCAGGCACTTCTACTCTTTGGGATGGAAGCACTGACATTGCAAATGCAGCCTTGTTAAATCAGAAGAGTGTTGATGGAAGTGAGACAACAAAGGCTCTGTTTTATGATAGGCTGGAGAAGAGGTTAGGGGAGGATCGTTTTGGGCTGAATTTACCAGTAGTCCAGAACATGATTAAGGCTCTCCGAATTGGGAAGCCAGCAGGTTATGATGAAGCATGGGTGAAGGGAGTTGATCAGATTGATGAAGCTGCACATACCGCATCCTTGTCTTTACCATCTCAGATCAAAGAAACTGCTGTGACCCCGTCTGATCCTTGGAAAAGGAAGAAGAGAAAGAAAAATCTTGATTTATTAGGTGCGTTTGAGCTTTAAATAATCATTTTTTCGCTAATTTGAAAAGATCTGAAAACTAATCACGTTCTTTGCTAACATGGATGTGGTAACTGCGGCCCTGTAGGATCTTGCTGTGTCGGTATGATAAAGGAGGATACAATAGAGTCTTCTTCTTAAACGTTTTCATGTATCACTGACTTGAGTGTTCATATTAGATTTTGATCGATGACCTCGTCTGGTATTTGCCTAAAACACGTGCAGGTGCTCGCCTGCAACAGTTTTTAAAAATCGTGTGAGAGCATGATCTTCATTTTAGTATATGCTGTCTGCTGGTGATGGGTTCCTAAGTTAACGAACAATTTTTTCAACAGAACAATCTTCTGAGATTGCCTTCGGCCTCTCCGAAACCGTAGAGCAATAATATCTATGTGGAAGTTTCGATAGTAATGATGACCTCATCAAAACCCTGAAATTTCCAGTCGAAAATCTTCTCAGCTTTTGGTTTTGTGTTGTAATACAGCTGAAGGAAATGTGAAAAAGGGGAAACCATCATCTGCGGAACCGGCTGCTCTTCATCCATTAGACTTGAGAGCAGGGGAGCAATTCGGAATCGAAAAAGTTGTTTTCCGAAACTTGCCACCTGTTTCGTCCACACCTACACCTCTACTCGCTTCGGCTATTGGGTTAGGACAAGCAACTGGACCCATAACGACAGCAGTGGCAGCAGCAGCAGCAGCAGCAGCAGCAGCACCCCCGCCTCCTGTAGTTATAATTGAAGAGCCTCGTCAGCCACCTCCAGCTGGCGAGCCTATTTTGAAGAGGCTTCCTTCTGAGTTGGTCGGAGATTTACTTCAGGTGATTTTATACCCTAGTGAATGAACGTTTCTTCAATGCATGCACCATAAATTGTCGAGACACTGTTGTCGTCTTTGACAGATCATTTATTCAATCTGTTCATTTCATGTTTGAGTTCACTCCTTACTTCAGAACTGCTTAGTTTAATATTATATGCTAGCATTTATGCAGAACTTGCGGGTTTGGTTTTGAAGTTTGAAGCCGACTCTGGTAGAGTACTTTTTATACATCGCATTTGTGTGATTTATGGTGACAGGTGTGGGAGTTCTTGTGTCGATTCTCAGACTTGTTTGGGCAAGACGTGCGCTTCACGCTTGAGGATCTGGAAGCAGGTCTACTGGATGTCGGACCTGTCAGAGAAGTTGAAGTTACGACAGAAGCCAAGGACTGCTCTGAACTTTCTGGTAGGAAGGGAAGGGTGAGCACTGTGGTGGATTTTTCTGAGCCAAGTGTGAGAACTGGGCGGGAAGGAGTTGAATATGTGGTTGATCTCTCCGAATCATCGGAAAGAGATCCAATGAAGGGCGACAAAGTCTTGAACAAATTCATTGGCACAGCAGACAGAAGTCATGAGAGTGCAGAAGTCCCTGACCTTGGGCAAGGATTTAATGCCGTAATGGGGATTGTGGAAGATGCTGAAATGAAAGAGGAATGTTGCGAGGATTTGAAACTTGAGGGGAAGGAGTCGAACTTGCATGCATTGGAGGAAGAACAAAGTGGAACGAAAAATGCAGTTGAAGTATTTAAAGGAACAGTTAGCAAGGGAATTGCATTTTTGGCAGAAGCACACATTCCCTTATTAAAATTTCTTGTATCTGATCTGAAGTTTCGAATATCGAGGGGTTTAAATGAAGACGAAGTAGAGGAGCCAAAAAAGAGAGGAAGGAAGCGTATTTGTGATGTAGGACCTCTCCCTCCTGAGTTTGGTGATGATCTTCCCATGAACGCAGTTACATGGCCAGAAGTTGCTCATAGATATCTTGTTGCCATTTTAGACGTGAAAAAGCATGGTGATATAACAGAGCTAGCTCCGGATGAGCGCAAAAAGCTTATGAGGTACTTCGAAGGAGATGGCGGTGTGATGGGTGGTGCTGTTGAGGGCGTCGTGGGAGTTGAAAGTGATGCTCAGGTCAGATTGGATCAACATTTTATTCCTTGTGTTATTGTAATGGTTTATATTTACTTATCGAGTTGATATGGTCGTGGTTGCAATCTTCATCATCGACAAGGTATGATCTGTTGCGATTACTCATTTTCAGAACTTAACCAATGCTGTGTTTGTGTTAGATACTCAACATTACTCTTGGAAGGTAAATGTCTTATAAATTAACACTTGAATGCGAGTAAAACCTATGAAGGATTGCTTATTTTTTCACCTTGCCCACTTAAGCTTCTTAATTTCGACTTGAGTCAATGCTGATTTCAGATCTTTTAGAGCTAACGGAATGAGAATGCCTGTGTGCTTTCATGGGTTTCATTTGTAGTAACTTGCTGTTACTGCTTAGTGCTACATGGGTTAAATGTATGTTTTCTCTAGGTTTCCTTGGGCGAAGTGGATTTTCGTGGTTATGTAAATGATGCCTGCAAGTGGGATTCCAAGATGAAGTAGCAGAAGGTTTGATTGTTTGTGTTCAACTAGACTAAGGATGTGTTACCATTGCAGGTATTAGCAGAAGCAGAGAAAGAGTTGACAGTAAGAATGCCAAAAACAGTCGAGAAGGACATAGTAATTTTTGTTCCTCAAGAATGGGATGTTGCATTAACGCCAATTAATCCGGCTCCAAAGAAAGCCAAGAACAGAAAGACTGGGGACCTGGACCCTTTACCAAAGTGGGTTGAGGCATTGGAACCCGTACGCAAAATGCCAACTAATTTGGGTACAAAACTTAAACTTCAAGTTCAGGAAGCGTTGGATTATGATCCTCCTGACTGGGCTAAAGGCACTTTAGAGTGGTCACTTAGTAAAGGCACCTTCAAAAGCAATGCTGCTGGCACTACAAAGGTACACACAATTTTCTTTTATTCTATGAGCCTAGAACTTAGGTCATGCAACCAACTACGACAGACAGAGATGCGTGTACCACATGGAACATTTATCTTTGTGTCCCACTTTTGTTTGCCCTTTTCCTCACTACCGCATATAATATCGCTTGTATTGAAGTCCCACTTTGTGATAAGTTGCATTTCAATTATCACCTATCTATCAAAGTGTCTTACCAAAAGAAGACCTGTATAGAGCAGTGTGTGGTCCCTGAGTATTAGTAATACCCTCGCAGTATATGCAACATGTTGTGAATGCCTCGTTATACACTCTAATAATATTTATCATAACTCCTTGCAGAGAGCTGTTCTGGAGGTCTTGGCCCAGTATCATGGTGAGGAGTTGAAGGCTATAAACGCTCCACGTATTAGAAAGGTGAAAGCTGCTCCATCTGCGGAGCATCTCATGCAACGTTGTAGAATTGTCTTACGTGAAGTGGCAAAAGCTGACAGCAAGCAGGTCTTTGGTAATTTGATGGGTGGTGCTTCTGCTGTCAAGTCTAGTAAAGATGTAGGAACATTGGCACGACCTTTAGACTTTCGAACCATTGATGCGCGCCTTGCTGCGGGAGCGTATGGAGGGTCAACGGATGCATTTGCTGCTGATATGAGACAGGTTCACTCATGCCTCTGGTTTCATTAGTCGATATACAAGTCGTTTCTGTTTTTATTTACGTGTAGGAACCTTGTATCACATTTCTTGGTTACTGTTCTGCCTCATTTGTGTCCAATTTCGATCGGCTTGTAAAGTGCTTTTGTAATACTGTTTCTCACTAGTTATTTTGACAAATTGGTGCAGATTTGGAAGAATGTAGAATCAGTGCACAAAAGTGGCAGCGCAATATTGGAACTTGCCAACACCTTGTCTCAATTATTTGAAAAGCTGTATCTAAAGCAGGTATGCTCGCATCAATTTCTGGTCTTCGAATGCTGCACCTCCGCAATCACCTAGTTTTTTTGTGATTGCTACTCGTACGTTTGTATGCTTGGCAATATAATGTATGTATGCTTGATTGGGGTAGATTTAATCGTTGATGGGCTGCTATCTTCTCATCTATTATTGGCAAGAGTTGTCTTGTCTAAGGTAGACGAATTTGTCGATTAATGTTCTTCTTTAATCATGGCTGAGCGTTACGTGTTTCTCTTATTACTATCTGCAAGTCACTGGAAATTGCTATTAAAATGCAAATTTTTAATTTCTTCTGATACTCTCCCTTGGAGAATTTGCTTTGGCTTCTTGTATTATTATGATATTGCTTCTCGATTGACGTGTGTTTTTTTTTTTTTTTTTTTTTTTTTTTTTAAATTTTAAATTTTTATTGATGCTTTATGCATTGTTGTGTTTCATAAATTACACTGTGAAAACGAACTCTTCTCCCTCTCCCTCTCCCTCTCTCCTGCTTCTTCTTCTTCTTCTTCTCTCTCTCTCTCTCTCTCTCTCTCTCTCTCTCTCTCTCTTTTTTTTTTTTTTTTTTTTTTTTTTTTTTTTTTTCCTTTCCTTTCTCCTTCCTCTTTTTCACGTCTCTTAATCAGACTGCGGTTACCAGATATATTTGTGGGTGTTTTTACTGTTTTCTATACTTGTTTCAATTACTGATTGGTTATGAGAACACCATGGCAGGTGGTGAGCCTAATCAAGGGTATGCCAGATACCAAAGATGACAAAGAGAAGGTTAGTGATGTGGATACAAAGGTGGATGGCTCTGTGAGGTCTAATAGTAAAGCGGGAACAAAAGGTTCAGGAAATGCCGCTGACGACAAGCTTGGCAAAGCACCCTGGGAGGATGATACTACTTGCCGGGTGTGTGGCGTAGATGAGGACTATGATAGTATACTCCTCTGTGATGGTTGTGATGCAGAGTATCATATATATTGTTTGGTTCCTCCACTTGAGAAAGTACCTAAAGGTAACTGGTTTTGCCCATCTTGTGTGGCTGTGGAAGAAGGCTACCCAGAGGCACCCTCTCTTGGGGAGGCTGAATTACGGGAAATGCAGGAAGAAAAGGAACGGCCTGTGGCAGGTAGCATATTGAAATTGGAGTACGAGGATGAGAAAGTGCCTTCTATTGTTCTAGAAAAGAAGCCTGAGGCGGAAAAGATCGGAAGGGAGCTTAGATCGGGGATTGTGGCGGGATTAGCTGTGGAGGATGAGGCTCTTTGTGAAGAACCTGATGCTCATTTTCCTGCTGTGGAAATCTCCGTGGAGGCCTTGCTTAAGAAATTGGAAGAAAAAGATTATTGGCAATTAAGTTTGCCAGATGTAAGAAAACGCTTGCCTTGATTTTGATCTTTTTGTTCTAGCACTAAACATGATGCTCTAACTTAAGTTAAAGCCCCGACGAGCCCATATAAAGCTGAAACTGCATATATTTAAACTGAATATGTATGCTGATGCCCTTACTATATTTTTTGTGACATTCCAGAAATTATTCGTGTTGAAGTTTCTATGTGATGAAGCATTGAAGACTCCTCAAGCTCGTGCTCATCTTGAAAAAAGCGTAGAGGTTACCCTGGAGTTGCAGCAGCAGCTCCGAGATCTGGTTGCAGAGCGCTTGAAAATAGTGGTGCCCATGGACGTTATAGGCCATACAAAACCTATTGATAAAGATAATTTACAGAAGCCTCAAACAAACTCCTTGCCAGGGCCAAGTTTAGATACAACGGAGCTCAAAGATGGAGTAGGGACAGCTGTACGAGCTTCGGGGCTTGAACTGGAGTCATTAGGAGTTGCAGAAACCCCAAAACTGACTACAGTCTCATTTCCAACGTCAAATAGTGATGATGATGTTCTAGTGATCGGAAAATTCAGTTCAAAAACGATAACACAAGAAAACAATGCGGGAGTTGGAAAGGTAGTGCATGATCTGGACCTTAATGTTGAAGCTGGAAAGGAACCTGAACCTGATCATTTGCGATCAGATCACAATGCATCATTTGGCACCAGCCCAGTAGAGTTGAACAAGGAGCGGCTGCTGGTGAAAGGTTTCGAGAATACTAAGCCAGTCGAACTCGATGCCGTTACGGCCTCTCAAACCGAGAATACTGTTAAAGTAATTCTGAATCAACTATCACCTGACCAAAAGCCTGGGTTACTGCAGGACTCTGAACAAAGAGCGTCAGAACATCATGGTAGGGCACGTGAAAGTGATAGTGGCCGTATCCATGTGGCTAGCGTTACTGAGGGTGTAGAGGATGTTGTTACTATTCAGCCTGACGCAGCTTCTAGGCCATTGAATCCTTTGAAAAGGAGTCTTGTGATAGGGGAGTCCAATCTTCCAAGCACAAGTATGAATGGGCCCGAGAATGTGAAAAAGGCTAAGAAAGAGGAGAATGCTATCCAAAGCACTCCGTCTGGTATTCATGGTACGGAGACTAATGATCCAATCAAGGAGCCGTCAGATGCTCAGGCAACTGCATCAAAGATCCTGGAAGATAAAGATGCCAGAACTAAGGCATTACAGACTGCAAGAGAACTAGATATGAAAATCACCAAATTGGGGTCTAAACTTTTCAATCTCACTTTGAGAAGAGAGCACATAGGCACAGATCATCTTGGAAGGGAGTATTGGGCATTGACTGGGATTGATGGGAGACCCTGTTTAGTTGTTGCTGATACGTCTGCTCCTCAGGAGCGAGCTGGCCAAGGCACTAATTCTGGTTCTTGTAGTCAAACGGTAGAATTTCAGGGCATTGAAGACCGTACTACTTCTCCAATAGTTCCGTCGGTATCCAAAGGCTCATCTGGTACGTTGTGCAGTTTTAGTGATGTTTCCAACTTTGCCCAAGAGTGGCACTCCTCGGTTATCAGACATTGATCTTAGACATGTTAAAGCTATGTTATGCATTTGGCCTTACAACTTTCATATGGTCTAGGTTGTTCACAATTTCCTGGATTTCTCTTTGCTCCCAATGGTGTCCTTACTCGTCATTGTGCTTATTTCTCCTTGAATACCTTGGTTTATTTCTCCTGAAACATGTGGTTAAGTGATCTCTTTGATTTACAAGTATGCTATCGCACTTGGTCTGATGTGTTCTACTTCTCTACTACCAAGCTGACTCTCTTGTAAATAATAGTTTACTACTTTTTCTGTGTTTCTTATTTGATTTTCTTATATGTATTAAAAATTACCTTTTTTAATGAAGTAATTGGAATTTATGTCTTTCTGAGACTACACAATAGTACAATACGGAAACCATTCTATTTCTTTAATTCAGCCTTTTGCCTGTGGTGAATGATTTTTTTCCTGTTCGTATGTTGATGTTACTGTTTCTTTTCTGTCTTATTCTAGTCATTATTATATTCATTTGATGTTTCACTAATCTCATATAGTATTTTTGTGTGCTCATCTCCAGAGGATAAAGAGAAAGACGTTTTAAACTTGAAGACGATGCAGGAAAGAACCAAGTGGGTTCATTATAAAGGTGATAAAGCTTTAGATGAGCTGGTGAAGTGGCTCAGTCCTAGAGATCAGCATGAACGAGTACTTAGGATTTCCATCTATCATTGGCGAAGATCATTGTACCCGAGACATCTTCTTTACATGCCTGATATGAAAACTGCTGTCACCACGACGGAGCCAAGCAAGGTCGTTGATGAGTCCAGGGCTATTAAGGAAACGCCTTTCTCAGAGATGGAGGAAATCAGCCACATTCGGAGTTTTCCTGCCGTAAATGCAAGAAAGTTACTGCTGAAAAGACACACTGCACTTAACACCTCCAGTCGTAGTGACTTGGTACATCAGAAAGAGTCTCACGATTCAAAGGAGATTCTGGATAAAAAATCCAGTGTGCTAAGGCGATGTGAGTGCCTAGAGCTGCTATGGGATTCCCGATACCATTGTCTGTCGTGCCATGAAACATATGAATCATCAGCTGAGTTCCAGACTCATTCGAATGACTGCCCTCCTGGAAGTAAGCCCAGCACTGAAAATGGATGCAAAGACACTCCTGCACTTATACCTGCTAAAGCTAAGAAAGTTGCTCATGATAGCAGAAAACTTGCTGTGAAGATGAAAAAGCTAACATCTTTCGATAAAGCTTCAGACTTGTCCCAATCTGTTGCTAAAGTTGGGATTACAACCAGAAGTGAGAGGTTAAGAAGAGTTCTGAAGAGAGAAAGTTTGCAACCAACTGTCGATGATGATGTAGACATGGACCCTGCTGAGTCTATGGAGTTTCTACCCAAGAACGTTGAAAGCTTGCAAACTCAGAAGATTTTAAGCACTGGAGGTGGGAATCCTATTGAGCACACCTCTACTGGTCTCTCGAAGGCATTGGAAGGGTTTATAAATCCCTCTTCCTCGACAGTGTTGCCTCATGCATCAGGCCAACCCGTGGAACCTACGCAGGAGCCAAGAGTGGAAGCTGACACTTTTGAAGTCACTTTTACTGTGGATGATTTTGATGCCAATTCATCGCCTTCACAATTTGGTGTCAGGAGTGAGAAGCGGATTTCGGATTCCAATCAATTGCACGAGCTGAAGGTTCTAAACACCAATCAGTTAAATTTGAATTGCTCAAATAACCGGCACAACGGTCAAGGCAATGCTGGTCTTTGGGTTGATGACTTGAATATCTCTAATCCAGGTGCCCGAGGAACGGACTTGAATGCTAACCAGTTCAATTGCTCAAATAACCTTCATGGAAATCAAGGAAACAGCGGTGGTTGGGTGAATGACTTGAACATCTCTGACAAACAAGTCAGAGACCAGGAGTTGTTCCATTCTCAGTCAAATTGCTCAAGTATTTCACGAAATCGTCAAGGTAATAACGGTGGATGGATGAATGACTTAAATATCTCGAGCCACAGTTTTAGCGACCAGGTGATGGATTTCAACAGCTTGAAGTACGCGAGCTCTTCACAGGGTGGTCGTGGTAATAGTGGCGGATGGGCGAATGATCTGAACGTTGCTACGCAAGCCTTCAGAGAAGACGCTTCTTTATTTGGGTATCATCCTCCTGCTCCAGCACTGATTTCTACCCCTGGGTCTGGTAGAGAGCGAGCGAGTCAGATTAAATTTTTAAACCGAGGTCCATCCTTTGCGTCACCTGTTCAAAGCCACCTTGCTTTTGATTCCTCACTTATGGTTGGATCTTCTCCTGCTTATCCATCTATGGAAAGTTTTAATTCTTTAGAAACTTCAAACCCTGTAGCTTCCCAGTATCAACAGTTTTTGTCCTCTCGTAACACCCTGAGCCAAGCACCTGTCCCGAACAGTAACTTCCTGCTCTCCTTAAATGGCACGAACCCTAAATCTGTCTCTTACAATCAGTACCTTACCCCTTTAGATCACGCAAACTCTCAGCAACTAAGTTTTCAGCAATTGTTGTCCTCAAATGATTCTTTGAGTACCTCACCTTCATCCTATCCTGACTCCCTTCCCAGTCCAGAAAATGCCAATACCACCCCTCTATCCCATTCCAACCTTATTCATTCTCGTGACAGTAGAAACCCACAACCTGTATTGTACTCCCAAGGCGTCCTACCACCTGAGAATTTAAATTTCGATTCAACCAGCAAATCCCCTGCTCTTCCTTTTCCCAATTTAAAATATACAAACCAGTCTACTGCACCTTACGTTGATTTGAACCCCAATTTTAACCAGCCTGGGTCACGCCCCGGAGATTTGAACATCCATTCTAATCCTGCGTTGTATGCTAACTTGAACCCAAACTCCAACCCTTCGACTTCACGTCATGCCAGCTTGAATATGAACTCTAGTCCTTTGTACACCAATTTTAGCACCAATTCACACCCGTCTGCCTCACACCACACAGACTCGAGCATCAATCCTAATCCTTCTTTGACCACTGACTTGAATATTAGTAACCCTCTTGTCTCATTATGTAGTCAGTTATCCCTTAGCAACAACCTTGTGGACTCAGAAACTAAGAACTTTGAAGTGGGGAGGTTCAAATCAAATTCGTGGTTTGATTCTCAAAGCACTCCGAAGCCGTTAACTGTAGAACGCCCTCCAGTTATCCCTACTAAACCTACTGCAAGGCGAAGTGCAACTTGGGATTATCTGATAAACCTCCCCTTGTCCTCATCTCAAGGAAGTGAGAGGCTAGTTCAGAAGCATCATGAATCTTCTGGACGTCACTCATCACCTTCACCCATTGAAGTTGGATCACTACCTTTTGATCTGGTGTTTGACAAGCCAAAGCGGGAAGATTTGAATGAAAGTACAGTTCCCGAAGTCTATGGTACTCTTACTCTAGACCGTATGCTTGATGGGCAACAAGTTCAAAGTCAAATCAATAACTCCTGTCGTGATACTGTTTCTATGGGAGCGGGCTCCGTTACTTTAGATTTGATGCTCGAGAAACAGGAGCAAGAGCATGGTGTTATTCGTCGGACGACTGGTTCCAGTGAATTTGGTGCTTTGTCTATAGATTTGATGACTGTTCCAGAGGAACAGATGGAAATCGCGCTGGCTGATACTATGGACATTGCCGAAGGAAGATGTATTGACGGTGTCCAGGTTGAACCCGTTGAAGCTGCTAAAGAAACCCGTAGTGGTAATGTTCCAGATGGTTGCTCTGGCGCTCCCAAAGAATCATGTGCAGTTGCTGCGCCAGCTATCCCCCCTGGAAATGATAAACTTGCTTGTAAAGACCAGGTCGAAGGACAGGGAGAAGCAGGAGTAGATAGAGTCGAGGTCGAACAAGGGGAGGGGAATACAAGTTCTGAACAGAGAATATTGTTGCCGCCTTCTGTTCCTGTTGCCGGTGCGTCAAGTGCGAGGAAGCCAGTAAAAAGATTTCCGGTGGCGAATGCGTCAGTGCATCCTTTGGTTGGTGAACAGAAATACTTGCTGAAAGGACTGCAGATTAGCTTGTTGGATATGGAAGCTGCAATGGTGAATGATATACTGGAGTCCGCCCGAGCTTCACCAATACGGCGTCGTGCTTGGCGGGCATTTGTCAAGTCATCCTCTTGCATCTATGAGGTAGGCGTCATCATTCATGCTTTTTAAGCTCCAACATTCCCTGCCATATCTTAGGCTTATTTCTTGATTTTTTCTTTAGAAGCAGCAAGCTGACAGCAATTGATTAATTCTGGGTCTTTATTGACGAAGAGATTTTTACGGTCTTGCTCTGTCTTGTTTTTGCATGGAGTGTGCTGGTATTTTGCTTTGTGTAAGGTATTTTGATTCATTCCCATATTCAATTGGCAGGTGACGAAAGCCATTATTCTCCTGGAACTCATGGTGAAGGCGGATTGTTTGAAGCCAAGCTGGGGTTATTGGTCTTCATTTTCTGCAGCTGCCCGGTCATCCTCCCTGTCTTCTTTGGCTCTAAGGCTCTTTGCTTTGGATTCATCAATTGCTTATGAGTGGGTGAAGGCTGCAGAAGATGGGAAGGAGACTACTCTTCCCAGCAAGAGTTCCAAGGCAAAGAAAAAGAAACCGTCAGACTTGCCTTTGCCTCCACCGCCACCTCTACCTCCTAAGCAGAAGAAAAAGAAGAAGAAGAAATAGAGAATTGAAGTTAAAGAGTAACAATGATTTTAGATGTTCATGCTGTCTGCCTGTTCTGTTCATAGTGAGTTCCAAGCATGGCGGATAGTTTAAAGCTCACCTGCAGCTGATGGGTACTCCAACCAGCGATTTTTTGTCCAGCCCTTTACAGTTTATTGAGGATCAGCAGCGCTTCATAGACCTGGCTCTCCTTGGGCTGGCCAGTCGTGTATATTCACTTTGTTTATATTCAACACGCCTGGGTCAAACATTCTGCACTGACAAACATTGTCGCACTCCAGCACATTTCATAGAATTCAAGCTGCTAACGTGTTTATTATGGTTGTAGTATTTAAATCTTCACAATTTTTTTGTACCTATTTATGTACACTTTATTGAGAATGTTATACCTTCAATATGATAATATGATGAGTGATAATTTCATTGTGGTAGAAAAAGTCAAATTCTCTCATTATCTTAATGTTTACATTAGTAGTTTGAATGATAGATATTTTAATTTTAATTGATCTACTAGAGATCATTTCTAATCATTCTCCATCATATTTCTTCAATTTTCTATAAGTAATCTTGTGAAGGACTAGTTAAAAGCTGCTACATGATTAGTTGTAGAACATTGTAAAATAAGAAAATTCATGATCCAAAAAATTGTTACCATTTGTAGTATTATTTATACTTCTTCATATCCAGAATCAATTAAACTCCGAGTGTTATTAATTTTAATTTGAGATTTATTTTAATGTACTCTTTAGTAGCTTTGTGCAAGTTGGTAGTTTGAAAATCACTTAATAGATAATTTATTCTCTAAGCATGCAAAATATGTTAAGTGTTTAATATTAAAGAAATATAACAAACACAAGAGAAGTATAGAATGAGAGTTTTCTTTTTTGACACTCTTATGAGTGGTGGTAAATGTTCTCATGAATTACTTCTATCACTTTATTTTTCCATCCATTATTAGACATGCTTAAAATATCTTTTGGCATTTCACCTATCATAAAGATATTCCTTGTTATAACATGATATGCAAAAACATGACATGTTTGATTGTTACATTTGATTAGAATTATTTCTAATTGCACAATTTCAATATCTTTTAAAAAAACTTGTCTCACTTAAGTATGCAATAGTTGGCACAATGATGGTTGCCAAACTATCTCTATTGCAGCATAACTTGCTACCATTTACTTTGCCTCTATTGTGAATCTTGCAATTGTTGGTTGTTTCTTTCAATTTCATGAGATTGTTCATATTCCAGTAGAGAAAATATAGTTCATTGTCGATCATCTATCATTTACATTTCTTATCTAATTGACATCATAATAACCATGTAATGCAATATTATCATTTCTAAGGCACAATTTGAAGTGTATAGTGCCTTTCAAATACTTCATGATTCTCTTAATGGTTGACCAATAGATTGGTCTAGTCTTTGACATGTGTTGACTCACAACACTCACCACATATGCAAGATCCATCTTTGTGCCAACCATTGCATATTTAAGTGAGCCTATTATTGCCTTATATAGAATACCTTTCATTTAACCTTTAGCTTCAATAAACTACTTGTTCATAAGCTTCATCAATTTCAAAGTGGCCTTCAAAGGTGTTCCAATAGACTTGCACTCCTCTATTTTGAATTGTTTCAACACTTCTTCAATTTACTTGCTTTGGTTCATTATAATAGTCTTGTTACAACAATCTCTCATAAACTCCACTCTTAAGCAATAATAGAGATTTCATCTCATATATATATTTTAAATATTATCTTTAAATAATTCATTATCCTCAAATATTAATTAAATTGATCAAATCAACATAAAAGATGAAAATCAAAAAGAATTATTTTGATTGCATTATATATATGGGATAATTAGCCTCATTCTTTATAAATCCTTCATTTACTAAAAAATGTGTTATTGCATTAGTGCCATGCCTTTGGTGATTGCTTGATGTTATATAAGGATTTTTTTAACTTAAAAATAAGATGTTATTTCTCTTTTTAAATAAATATTTGAGGTTGATCCATGTAAATGTGTTCTTTAAATTTTTTATTTAAGAAAGTCTTCTTTATATTTATTTAATGTATCCTTAAGTCCATTGATGCTTTAATTGCTACAATGGTTCTAATAGTGGTGAATATGGCTAAAAGAGCAAATTTCATATTGAAATCAATACCAACTTGTAAGTGGTTTTTGGCAACCAATCTTTTTTTGTGTCTTAAAATAATATTTATTGCATTCTTTTTGATTCTAAATACCTACTAACAAAAAATTAAAGGTCAATTTGGTAGAAGTTGAATCAATTTCTATGTTCCACTATCTATAAGTAATTGGTACCATTCTTCCATAGTCTTCTTCCATTTTATAGCATCTGTAGATTTTGATGTATTATGCAAACTCATTAGATCAACAAAAAGTAGAATTTTGATATCTTCTCCACTTACTGCAAGAAAGACATAGTTCTTTCACCATTCACCAAATGATTTTATCTTTTTATAGGATATTTTTTTTCATTTGAAGAAAAATTAGTACTCTATTGTTTCTTCTATGCTTCTTCTATCTTAAAATTTGTTTCTTTTTACTCAGAGATTGATATTTATCATCTTTATCATCTTCAACATCTTAATTTTTTTTATATTGTTGATTTTAGTGGTTGTAAATGTTTTTTTTTTTTTTTTTTTAATCTTCTTTAGTTCTTTATATATTACAGAAATATATTTATTACAATTATTCTCTAAATAATATGAATAGATAGAAGTAAGTAAAAATAGATTAATTTCATAATATCTTTTAAAAAAGCTTCCTAAAAGCTTCATAGATGTTGTTTTGACTTTATATGTGTTTGTAGTTGATTGATAGATTAGAAACTTGGTCAACAAATTAATCATCTGCCACATATATTGATAGATTACAAAACAAGCTAACTATGTAGCTCACATATAGAAAACTTACCTTGTAAGTTAAGATAAGTGTTGTGCAAAATCAATAAGTTTTGGAAGTCTTATAGGACATTGCTACGGGTCATGGACATACATATTTACCATGATAATTATCTAGATAATAAGAATAGATAGAAGTAAATCAAAGTAGATAAATATGATAATATCTTATGGAAAGCTTCCTAGAAGCTTCATAGATACTGCTTTGCCTTTATACATGTCTATAGATGATTGGTAGGTTGAAAACTTGGCCAACAAGTAGGCCACATGTTAATATATTGACCACTTATAATACAAGTTGGACATATGGCATACACCTAGGAAACTTGCCTTGGAAATTAGACATGTGTCCTATAAATTGGACTCGTATTAGAGGTCCTATAGCATGTCACGACATAATTCTTAGTTAAGTAGTATATATAGAGGCAAGAGTGAGGCCTTCCTCACTCTTGGCAACTCCTTTCTTGCTTTTAGTCTGGTTTTAAGAATCTTATGTTTTTTAGTCTTTGGCAATAATCATTCCAATTCTTCTTTCAATATACACATTTTATTTTATTTTTATTTTGTTACTTTCTTTTTGATATAGATTCTATAAGTTTATGTATCTTCTTCTAGTTTGTGTCCTTGACAAATTGACAAGAATATACATATAATATCAGAGTTTTATCTTTTCTTGATTAAGAGTGGATTACTTCTTTTTCTTGATAAGATATAAGTGTATTAGAAGTTGTGGATTACCTTCTTGTAAACTGATATTATTTTTAGAAAATTTTTCTTGATTCTTGAGTATTGTATTCTGTGAAAATGGACACCTTTCTTTTTATTGTGCTAGCATGGAAGAACTTGCTGAAATGAAGAATGCAATGGCTCAAATGTAAGAACAAATGAGAGAGTTAATGCTTGCAATGCATTAACTCAGTCTTCCACTACAAGGAGCAAAAAGATTATCAGGCAATGAAGATATAAAGATGATTGGAGTAACTTTAATATCTACATCAAGCCATACTACTATTCCTACAATGAAACATCGTTCAAGTTTCAAGGAACCACAAATTGAATTGCATGAAAAGTTTGATGGGAGAAGTTCTAAGTTTTGAGGATTCATCAATCAGGTATAATTGGTGATTGAATTACAACCTCAAAGTTATCCAACTCAAGGATTATAAGTCAAGTTTATTGGAACACTACCTTTGAGTTCTGCTTTATCATGGCTTTCATCATTTCTTGAACAATATGATCTAATATTGGATAATTATGAAGCATTTTTAGTGGAATTTTGATTTATGTATGGAGAACATGATAGAATCCATGTTGCAACCAATAAAATTCATATCTTGCGACAAGGCAATCAATTAGTGATATTATATGCTTCACAATTTTGACAATTAATGACAGATATCAATTGGAATGATGCACCACTCATCAGAAAATTTATCTATGGATTACAATATGAAGTAAAGAAATTGATGCTCAATTTACCTGATCCTCAAACATTGAATCAAGCAATTGACTTTGTTGTGAAATATAATAATCAACTTTTTGAGTTTTGATCTGAAAATTGCACAACAAAACCTCAACGTTATTACAATTTAATGATGACACCAACGACTTCTTAATCTAAATATTTGAAAGTAAAAGACATGCAAATTGATGTAGTATGTTTTAAACCTCTTACCAAACAAGAAAAGACTCATTGTCGTTAAGAAGGACTATGTTTATATTGTGGAAAAGCTAAATACACTACTTAATATTATCCAAAGAAATTACGTAATTACAAAATAAAGAATATTCCTATCAAAGATGAAAACAAATTTGTCCAGCTATAATAGGGACCGTTGTCGTAATACGTGAAGTCTTGCTTGAGAATGCTCCAGGCACCTGGCTGTGTAAGGTAGAATGGAAATTATAACAACAAAATCCTAACGATAATAGAATATTAACTAAACTCTGATTAGACCATCATAATGTTAAGCAAGATTTAATCAAATTCAAAAAAACGTCAAAGAAATTTCAAACAAACAATAAGAATTCCTAAAGAAATATTAAAATGATCACAAATATCATTCAAATACATCTCAATTTAATCTTAATTTAATTCTAGTTAAAATCCTATTGAACTTCATTAAAATTTTAGGCCAAAATTAATTAAATCTTAAACCCTAATAAAATCCTAAACCCTAAATCAAACCCTAAATCTTAAACCAAATCCTAAACAAACCTTAAACCAAATCCCAACTAAATCCTAAATCAAACCCTAACCAAATCCTAAACCTTAAACCAAACCCTAATCAAATCCTAAATCAAACCCTAAATCCTAAATCAAACCCTAATTAAATCCTAACCAAATCCTAAACCAA